TGCTTCGGCCTCCCAAAGTGTTGGAATTATAAGGGTAAGCTACCATGGCTGGTCTTAATTGGAACTTTGAAACAACATATATTTTGTTACTTTATTTTTTAAAGAATTATTTGTGCCTGATATGCTGTAACTATTTTAACATCTGTTGACTGAACAGATCTGCTGAGTGAAAGGGAAACGATTTGGACTCCCTCTGAGAGATAATATATTTGGGGAAAAATTGTACTTCAATAGAAAACTATGCACTGGCCACAGCACAGCTTTAGAGCTGATATTTGCGGGGCTAGAATTTGCCTTTGAGTTATTTTGCGCTTTTGTAAATTGAAGCTAAGTGATAGGCATGCAAACTCTGGTTCTAGCAGTTTGATTACCTTCCCTCCACCCTGTGGAAAAAACAGTTTTGCCTTCATTTGCAATCCAATTCCTTTACTACATATAAATTTGTGCTTTTTGACTTTCCCTCTGTACTGGTTATAACTTCTGTCTGGTTACCTCATATCACATGAGTAAAATAAAAATCTTTGGCATATGCTCATTTTTATATTTGTATGAGTCATGATTTAACCTTTTTCCAAAAATTATCTTTTAACAATTACTTCAGAGAAACAAGCTTATTGGAAACAAGGCTTTCTCTAAACCCGAGAGCTGATAACATAGGTAAACACATGGCTGGAATGCCAGAAATGGAGTCAGGCCAAGCAGAGAACAAAAAGTCTGATTTATTCTCTCAAAAAAAACTGGGTTTAAGTCAAGACCTTGGAAGAGTGAGTAAGTGAAGGGAGTGTGTGAGTATTGTCCTCACCCGTATCAATAGGCCTGGGGCCCTTTGGCTTGCCTATACTGTGTAATCTCAGTCCCCCCAATGATAGCTATAATTAAATCAGAGTTGGACAGAGTCAGGCTGAACCAATCAGGGCAACTGGAAGTTTGGGTTTGAGGCTGAGAAACAGGTTGTTTCTGCTGGGCACACGAAACAGGAAGATTGGTAAGTCTGAATCTGGGCAAGTCTGTGCTCAGTCCCTCACACACGCCATGTTCTGATGCTAAAAATATACCTATGTTCTAAGTATGTTGTTCAAGGTTGTTTAATGCAAAGAGCTTTCAAGCCAGATAGATCTTAGTTCAAAAGTAAACATCAAAACTCCTAGTGTGTGAAATAGGCAGTTTACCTGATGTCTCTGAAATTCAGTTTCCTTATTTGCTAAGCAGGAAAATGAATACCTGCCCCATGTAAGTGCTATGGTAATTAAATGAGGCAAAGCCATAAGCGGAAAAATATAGTTCATGGCATACAATATATACACTCCAAAACTAGTGCCCACTCAGAAAGTAGAAAAGATTCTCTTAGATACAAGTAGGATGAGTAACTTTGCACTAAAGGAGGCAAAGAAACGTTGGGTATGGACTAAATGTACAAAAGGTAATACTTTCACGTCAAAAGAGAGGGTTGGGGTGGACGCAGTGACTCATGCCTGTAATCTCAGCACTTTGGGAGGTTGAGGAGGGTGGATCGCTTGAGCCCAGGAGTTTGAGACCAGCCTGGCCAACATGGCAAAACCCCGTCTCTACAAAAAATACAAAAATTGGCTGGGAGTGGTGGTGGGCACCTATAGTCCCAGCTACTCAGGAGGCTGAGGCAGGAGAATCGCTTGAACCTGAGAGGCAGAGGCTGCAGTGAGCTGAGATTGTGCCATTATACTCAAGCCTGGGCAGCAAGAGGAAGACTCTGTATGAGAAAAAAAAAAAGAGAGAGAGAGAGAGAGAGAGAGAGGGTTGACTTCTAAGGAAGGACAGACCTAAGGAAAAGGTTTTGTCCAGTGTTGCTTTTGTGGTTCTCTGGTGGACATTTAAATTTTAGAATCTCTTAAAAAAAAATTAATAGACCATTTTAGGTCCAGGCACAGTGGCTCACGCCTGTAATCCCAGTACTTTGGGAGGCCGAAGCGGGCGGATCATGAAGTCAGGAGATCGAGACCATCATGGCTAACACGGTGAAACCCCATCTCTACTAAAAATACAAAAAATTGGCCAGGTGTGGTGGCAGGTGCCTGTAGTCCCAGCTACTCGGGAGGCTGACGCAGGAGAATGGCGTGAACCCGGGAGGCAGAGGTTGCAGTGAGCTGAGATTGTGCCACTGCACTCCAGCCTAGGCGACAGTGCGAGACTCCGTCTCAAAAAAAGAAGAAAAAAAAAAAAACAGGCTATTTTTCAGTGCAATTTTAGGTTCGTGGCAAAATTGAACAGAAAGTACAGGGAGTTCCCACATACTCTCTTGACACCCCCTCTATCACATGTCACCCTTTGTTAGACTAACCTTCATTTCAGGTTTAGTCCTTCAGATTGCAATTTTTTTTGTTTTGTTTGAGACGGAGTCTCACTCTGTCACTCAGGCTGGAGTGCAGTGGCCCGCTGTCAGCTCACTGCAACCTCTGCTTCCTGGGTTCAAGTGATACTCCTGCCTCAGCCTCCCTACTAGCTGGGATTACAGGTGCCCACTACCACACCCGGCTAAATTTTGTATTTTTAGTAGAGATGGGGTTTCACCATGTTGGCTGGGCTGGTCTCAAACTCCTGACCGCAAGTGATCTGCCAGCCTCGGCCTCCCAAAGTGGTGGGATTACAGGCGTGAGCAACCACACCTGGCCCAGATTGCAATTTGTATTCCATCTAGTTTTCTATTCTTCTTTCATTAATAATCTATCAACTGCTTATCCTCACAAATTCTTCTTTATATAAGACTTCCTAGGGAAACTATTCAGCATGGACGCATGTCACACATTTGTTAAAACTCATTTGTGAAATCTTCTTTGCTTCTTTCCTTCCTTCTCTTTCTATCAGTCATCTATCCATCAACATTCACTGGCACTCTGGCACTAGAGGATAATATAAAATTACCTTCCAATTTCTAACTCTTTAAGATCTAGGTGCTAAAAGACAGGACCAAAAAAGATTTTCATTCTGAGTTTCTCTCTCTTTTTTTTTTCTCTTCTTGTTGTATAGCAGTACATGTTTTTCTTTTCTTTCTTTCTTTTTTTTTTTTTTGAGACAGCATATCACTCCTATCACCTAGACTGGAGAGCAGTGGTGCAAACATAGCTCACTGCAGCCTCAACTTCCTGGGCTCAGGTGATTCCCCCACCTCAGCCTCACAAGTAGCTGGGACTACAGGAGTGTGCCCAGCTAATGTTTTGTATGTTTAATAGAGATGGGGTTTTGCCATGTTGCCCAGGCTGGTCTTGAACTCCTTGTCTCAAGCGATCCACTGGCCTCAGCCTCCCAAAGTGCTGGGACTGCAGGTGTGAGCCACCGTGCCTCACCTACATTTTTCCTTTAGTATTCAAAACAGTCTTTAAAATTAGAGAATACGTAAAATGTTTTTGTAAAAAAGCAAGTAATACAGGAAAGTACAGTCTATCCTCCATTCTATTCCCTCACTTGGAGGTAACCTTCCCGGTAGGTTTTCAATGACATTAAGGATGATGTGGATGAAACAAATATTCTAAGTAGGTTCACAGTAACTTACCTGGCTGGTTCTGACAACTTTCTTAATTTAAACTTATCACTGTTGCTTTTGTAACACTGGCCAGTGTTTTTCATTTGCCCAGCAATAGGAAGAATATTTATATCTTTATCCCTGTGCGATTATTTTAAATGCAAAGCCTCTGATGAACTATAGACAGTTTTTCAGTGTAGTTAAAATGATACAAACACTTTGGCAGTTACTTAATTAAACATAAAGCTACCACACAACCCAACCATTCCACTGCTAGGCATGGAGAGGATTTAGTGCTATCCCAAATAGTCCACAAGTTTGAATAATGCATTGTTAGTGGTTCTTGCCTGGGACATACATCAGAATCACCCGGAAAGATTTTTCAAAATACATTTCAGATATGTAGAATCAGAATGCATAATGGTGGGCCCTGACATACGTAGTCTAATAAAAGTTCCACAAATGAGGATTCTGCACACAAATGCCCTTTTAGTGCCACGCTTTCATATGACCACCTTGGCGAAGCACACCCACTTCCTTGGCTTCAACCAACTTCTATGTTGGGAGAGGGCCTGAAAAAGGTGGTCACGGTGGCATTAAAGAGGAGAAAATTCAAAACAGTTATGAGGTAGAATTCATAGGATTTACATATAGAAGACACTGATGATGCTTTTTATGAAAATTTTGAACCACTGAGAAAATTTTAAACCAGCTGAGAGATTAGAATTAGGTTGAACACAAAATTGCCAATATTCAACCATGTATGACAAAAATGGCACTTCATATGCCAAAAATGGAATTTTCATACAAAAGTAGCAATTTCATATATTTTAACCTAATATAAAACACTCATATGCACACTACCCAGATTCAGTAATTCTCAAGATTTTGCCTCCTTTTTTTTTTCTTTAATTGCTGAGTAACTTTAAAGCAAATCTTAGACCTTAAGTCATTACACTCCTACATACTTGGCATATATCTCAAAAGTACTGCCGCTTATGTAACTGCAATTTCATTACCACACCTCACCAACAATAATTTCTTGTTATCATCTAATACCCAGTCCACATTCTTATCTCTCTGATTGTCTTTAAAAAATGCATTTTGGTTGACTGAATAAAGTTCCTAAAGCAGATGTACGCATTGTATTTGGTGGTTATGGTTTTTAAACCTTTTTCCATCCCTGAGCAGTCCTCCTGAGATATCCTCTCCTACTTTCTTCCCATGCCACTGGACTTACATTCATAACTTGAACAGTTTTGTGAAGACAAAATGAGGTAATGAATATATAATGACCAGCACATTGCCTGATCCACAGACAGGCAAGCGGTTGCTCAGTGAATGTTAATTCTAGTCAACGACAAGAGACACCTTCATCATATATAATAGAAATGTTCATTTCAATAAAATATTTGTAAAAAAGCATCTGAAGAATTACATAAAGAATTACATTTTTGGACAGTGCAGAATATGTACAATAATTTATCTGTAAGTAAGCAATACCTACAGCAGAAGCAGAGAATCCGAGGATTTTGGAAGAAGAAATTGTCTTCAGGAATTTTGCTCTACCACTAGGAAAGCAGAGGCTCCTCTGGGCCAAAAACATGCTATTAAATAAAAGAAAAGTTGAGAAGAGGAATAAATATATGATGGGTACATCATTATCAGACACTTACAGCCAGCTGGTATATCATAAGCTTACGTAAAATCCAAGCAAACATTTTTGATAAGTGAGCTTACTTTCTTTCAAGTTTTCTTTCTATGATATAATCTCTCATCACTGGAAGCATTCTAATAAATGTATTCTTCCTTATACAAATTTATATTCACATCATTTCAAACTAGAGAGCTGTAAGAATATTCTTAATTCAGAAACCAAGGCTTTAATTTAGTCAAGAGCATTAAATTTCAGTAAGTGAAAGTTCCATTTCTAGCAGCCATAAAATCCAGAGTATTTCAACCTAGGAACGACCCAAATTTCAGAATCCTCTGGATAACAGTCACTAGTAAAAGCACAATTTGTAACAGTAAATTAAAGTTGTTAGGAACAATTATTTAAAAAGTTATTTGAAAAGATGAATGATAGTAGGTCCTTGATAAATAGAAAGACTATATGAGTGAATCTTAGGTTATTCTGAAGGTACTTCCTCCAACAATTCCCGCAAGCCATTTTAGTGGATTCCAGTGGCATGATAGGCATGCATTCTGAATTGCTTCTCTACCTGTAAGAAAATTGATATCCATCATGGGTAAATGGAGGAAGATTAAGGCAATGAAACTCTATTATAATAATACTGCTACTTGGAAGTGGAAAGAAAACCCAGTTTTCTAAAAACATTCAGGCAAATAGATATTTCTCATAAGGTTTTACTCTGAGAATGTTGTTCTCTTAAGCCTCTTAAGTATAAGGCTGCTATATCAGTGGATGGCATTTCGTCTAACAGTTATCAAACCTTAGAGAAAAGAGACCTAATCTATGGAAACTAAATAGAACTTCTACATAAAATGCTAACAAATCAAACCCAGTAGTATACAAGAAGAATAATACATCATGACCAAGGGGGATTGGGTTTATATAAGACACGTATTAATGTGATTCACCACATTAAGAGATTAAAGTCAAATTCAATCTTAAGAAGTTTCTATCTGTAGTCAAGTTATGGACTCCTGCTGGGCCTCAGTTTCTCCATTTTTTCACAATAGATGAATAAATTAATAAGGTTTGAGTTAAAGCAAGCAGGTAGAGGGAACCCTCTAAAGACATAAAGATACAATGGAATTTGCTGATTATGGCACAACTGTCCCAAAAGAGAACAGTTGAAACTTTGGACAATGGAAGAGAAAGGAAGAGCTGGGTCAGTTGCCAGGAAGTACACCGCATGATGGAGGTAATGTGCTAATAATAAAAGCAAGTGAGCTTGGAGTGCAGCTTCTGGGAGATTTCACCCCAGACTGGGTGAGCCATACTCTCTAGGTACCAGGTATTTTAATAAGTAAACACATTTTGAGCAGCATTTTCTAATGCAATCAACACTGCATATATATATTCACCAATGAGATAAATACATTAAATTTAGATGTCACCGAAAAGATAGAAGAAAATAAAAAGGTATATGGCTCTTAATTCTAAACAATATTTTCATTGTATTTTTCTCCCTAAAAACAACTTCTGTGAAGAAAACCTGGCAACTTATGAATCAGGATGATCTATGTGATCTAATTATAGCATATTATGCATAAAGTCCACATTCCAAAACGCACGATCTATAGAAATGAAACTGTTGAATTATTATCAATGGGTTAGACTGTTTAAAATGAAGATTCAGAAGGCATGCTTGGCAGATTTGGGGGTGGCCTGAAGCTGAGAGAGCTGGTGAATTTTTGAGGGCCGAATATAAGGCTAAAAGGCAGACAAGGCAGTCAAAATAAATCTTATGAAGCTTAAAGCTCCAGACTTAAATCCAAATGATCAATTTATACTTTACACATGAGGAGGAGAGGTAGGAAGAGATTTAATTTGACAAAGCCCAGAACATCTGGGTTAACTGCAAGTTCAAGCAAGATTAACATGAGGCAAAAAGGGCTACAGCTAATAATGCGCCGCCCACACTGTTACAAGAGTCCGACCACTGGAAAACTGATTTTCCTTTCATACTCTACCTTGTTAGTTTGCTTCTAAAATGTTTATAAGGTTCACTGATACAACACAGGGAATCTAGGCGGCGAACAAAGTCCTGGACGGGGGAGTACTGTGGAAGGATGGGCTTCAAAGCTACGTCTTTAGAACAACAGCGGAAAGAATTGGCCAAAGTTGGGCAGCACATGATTTAAGGAGACACCAGCCTGAAACTGCTGAAAACCTGTTCTACGAAAATGGGATTCGTGTAACTATAAACTTCTCCAGAGGGAAAGCAGTGTGGCTGCCTGGGTGATACCAGGAATTCGGTTTTAGCTCCCGAGGTCAGACTTGCTAAGGGCTGACCTGCAGCCCCAGTCCTCCTCAGGTGGCCGCTAAGGAGCCACGCGTGGGAGAAGAGAAGGAAGGCCATTTCTGCGCCACTTGACTCCAAAAGCAACAGACTTGACTACTTTTCTCTTTTAACTACAGATGTTGGATTCTGCTAAGCTTCATTTATAAGGCAACGTAACAGCCTTGGTATCCTCCTTTTGGATTTTTTTTTTTTTTTTGAGACGGAGTCTCGCTCTGTCGCCCAGACTGGAGTGCAGTGGCGCAATCTCGGCTCACTGCAAGCTCCGCCCACGGGCTCACGCCATTCTCCTGCCTCAGCCTCCCGAGTAGCTGGGACTATAGGCGCCCGCCACGACGCCCAGCTAATTTTTTGTATTTTTAGCAGAGACGGTGTTTCACCGTGTTAGCCAGGATGGCTAACTGATCTCCTGACGTCATGATCCGACCGCCTCGGCCTCCTAAAGTGATGGGATTATAGGCGTCAGCGTCTTTTGGATTTTTAAATTAAGAGTCCCAAAGTCACTCTTCTCAGACTACCTTCTAAAAGGCCAAACAGCGAAATCAAGAGTAAAAGCGCCAAGACGGTGACCGGGTCTAGGGGATCCCTCTTGGAGACCAGTCACCTCGGCGCCTTCCCCTCAAACTGTTAATCCAGGGCCGACTCCCTGCAGCCGCCTCAGCAGGCGGCTCCCGCGTGACTCAGGCAAGAGCAGCCCGGCCTCCGTCCCCTCGCCCCGCAGGCCGGAAAGGCCCTCGTCAGTCCGCACGAAAGCGCCGCGCCGAGCCGCGCCGCGCGCCCGCCCCACTCACCTATCTGGTGCGGGAACCTCGCCTCTCCAGGCTCGAGACCCGCCTGGGCTTGAGGGCCTGGCTGGGCGGGATTCGGACGCGGGGGGCGGAGCCGGGACACGGACTGACTCTGGGGTTTGCACTCAGTGCGCGCTTTGGCTGAGGGCTACGCTGTGATCTCTAGGCTGGAAAAGACTGGATAAGGGGTGTTTTTTTGGGAGGGGAGGGGCGGGATTTGGTGGGTTCCGGGCTTGTGGGAACAATGGGGCGGGCCGGGGGCGAGCCCGGATGTGGCCAGGGATTGGCTGTGGAGTGTGACTCACGGCGCGCGTTGACTGTAGGGTCCGCCGCGATCGCGGACCGGATGGAAATGGAGGAGGGAAGGGGTGGGGGCCGCGGGTTGGGCTTGAGTGAGGAAGGGGACAAGATGGAGGCGGGCCTGGACGTGGCCGGGGATTGGCTATGGGTGTGGACTCGGGGAACTCATTGGCTGTGGAGTCGGCCGGGATCACGTGCTGGTTCAGGCAAGCATAGGTGCGGGACTGGAGTTAGCTGGGCCGGGACTTGGATATGGGTATGGAATTTGGGCCCAGGGCTCGAATCGGATATATGGGATTGATCGGGTTGGGGCAGGTTATAGGAGGAGTACTGGTTTGCAAAGATGGGCAAGCTATGAGGCCAATGGGCTTGTACAAGTGGAGGGGTCGGGTTAGAATAACTTTGGAAGGTTCCTGAGAGAGGGCAATGCCAGAGTGAGTGTGAAAAGGGATTCCTAGATGCATCTGTCATTTGAGATGGGGGTGAGGGGTTAAAAAGCGGAAAGGAACTTATTTTCCTTAATATGAGTTTGATCAGCAAACTAAGAATGAAAGGGACATGTCAGACTGAAGGAGGACAAAAAATGACACTAAAATACAAAAAAGAAAAGTCTCTAGGAAAACAAGGAAGGAACCCACTGGTGACTTATTTGGGGAGGGCAGTGTCAGCGAAAGGAGAGTTTTTGTTAAAAATTGAGTTTTATGTTTGGATTTTTTTCCTCTTCTATTTTAAGAGGATGAGAGGCTAGAGGGAGTGGGAGAGGCGTTAGCATTGTTTTTCAGTTCTAAAGGAGGGAACAAAAGTAATCATTGCTTAAAGGAATATACTCTTCAGCTAGGTACAGGGAGTTTCAGAAGACGATTAGGTGCATAGAGAAATTATTGTGTACAGGCAGGGGCGAGCCTGATGTGGCTTGGGATTGGCTGTGGAGTGTCTCAGTGCGCATTGGCTGTGGGGTCCGCTGCCATTGGGGATCATACTACATCTTACCTTTAGGAGGGAGGAAAAGTGCAAGGCTAAAGCTGTAATCAGTAAAGAAGCAACAATCATATTAGCTGGGGGAGGAGGATAGTTTGATATTTTTGTAGTTTCCACAGTGACCTTTTTAAAAATCTGGTTAGGCAAAAATAGTGTGATCTTGTTTGTTGTCTCACTTCATTATGATCACAGAATGACCTGGTACTGTGTCCGAACTTGGTGGGTTCTTGGTCTCACCGACTTCAAGAATGAAGCCGCAGACCCTCAGGGTGAGTGTTACAGTTTTTAAAGATGGTGTGTCTGGAGTTTGTTCCTTCAGAGGTTCAGATGTGTCTGGAGCTTTTTCCTTCTGGTGGATTGTGGTCTCCCTGTCAGGAGTGAAGCTGCAGACCTTTGCTGGTGAGTGTTATAGCTCACAAAGGCAGCATGGACTCACAGAGTGAGCAGCAGCAAGGCTTATTGCAAAGAGCAAAAGAACAAAGCTTCCACAGTGTGGAAGTGGACCTGGGTTGCCACTGGTGGCCCGGCAGCCTGCTTTTATTGCTTATCTGGCCCCACCCACATCCTGCTGATTGGTCCATTTTAAAAAGAGCTGATTGGTCCACTCTACAGAGAGCTGATTGGTCCGTTTTGACAGAGTGCTGATTGGTGCGTTTACAATCCTTGAGCTAGACACAGAGTCACAGAGTGCTAGTTAGCTAGATACAGAGTTAGCTAGATA